TATATATATATATATATATATATATATATATATATATATTCCGAATGCCCACTTACCACTCTTGCCGATGCTACGCTATTTGAAGAGCGCAATCCTACGTTTGCTCTCAACTAAGCAGTGATTCACAACGTTATACAGTGGTAAAGACAGAACTGGGGACGAAGCCAATTGGCATGGTTTTCCTCATTCATAAGGATGAAATATACCTTTAATTTTGACAGCGAGACTTGAATGTCTTTTCGTTTTGTGTTAATCACCATCTTCATTGCAATCGCCATATGAAAATAAATTTTCTCCTCCCCGCTAACGAGATTTCAGTTAAACCGTCTCTAAGATATATCCCTTGTCTGCAAATACATCCCTAATTATTACCATAATCTTGAAATAATTGCAACAGAACCAAATGGGCACGTATTTAATGATGATATAATGATCTTAATTAAGATGTCTGCTATCAGATATAAAAGATCTGTCCGATTTTTCTTTGAATACGGGTTCGCAGAAATTCTCCTTGGATGACACTTCAATAGTGAAACGTTCAGAGGGACATTGGCACGTTTACACGTGTAATACAATTCCTCTGTCTGGGCGCATGCACACATGCGCAATAGATAAAGCAATGAGTGTTCGGTGTATTTTTCGAAGAAACCTCATGAAAACTTCATGTACATACATCAGACTTTACCCAGAGCGGACCTTTTCCCGGTAAAAATGGCGGTTCGTCCCCCCCCCCCCACCCCTCCGGCGACAGTCCTGTGACTTCAAACAATGCTTTATTGTGTCTGTTCAGTTTGTTAATGAAGCCGTTGGTGGTTATGTTGAATAGGAATGGGATTTTAAATAGCAGGGTATATATAATGTGTTAAAGCTGCATGAACAAACGAAATGCCGTCGTGGTAACGTAATGATCGAACGAGGTGACAGCGTCTTTTCTTTTTCAAACATAATTAGGGAGCTCGGTTATAAAGAAAATGAATTTCCTATGCTTTTTGAGCAACAAACATTCTGACATTTTAACCCTCCAACAAGTTAGTCTACCGAGAGAAAACTCCCTATTTCTGCTGGAATACACTTAAAACTTATGATCAGCTCAAAGTTGACTGAACATACGGCCCAAGAGTGGGAGTAAACTTCTTAATTCGTTGGCTAAACGGCGCCGTGTAAGTTTAGTTCAAGGCAAACGTTACGTAGTCGGCTCATGTTGTTGCAGTGACGTTATAACGATGAGTTCACCGCCGCATTACCGGAATTCATGTTAGTTGTAATAAAGCGGAAGGAGACATAAAAGACCTTCTGACTGAACAATTATGAT